AATCGCTCCACCAGACTAAAGAGGTGTTTAGTGAGAGGGGGCTTGGGGCAGATCTGGGAAGGAAGAGTGGCCTGGGGCAGGGCAGATAGGGCAACGGGGTGGTGGTGGTGGTGGTGGGAGCGGGGACAGGAGAAAAGGCAGGTGGTGGGTCATGCTGGCTGGGGAAGCAGCATGGGGTCTGGAGAGGTGAGGGGAATTCAGATCACAAAGGAGCTCAGACACCATGTGAGAACTAGTTCTTTACCCTGTGAGTACTGGGAGCCAAGGAAGATTTTACCTTTAAAAAAAAAAATCAAAACACAATTTACATACAGTAAAACTCACCATCTTTCAGTGCATACTTCTGTGGGTTTTGACAAATCAAGTCCGGTCAATCGTGATGGAGACAGAACATTTCCATCCCCCTCCAAAGTCCTGTCACTCCCTCTTCTGTAGGTAACCCCTCCTCCGCCTCAATGACTGGCAACCACAGATCTGCTCTCTGTCTCCATCGTATTTTTGCCAGCGTAACATTTAACTGGAATCATACAGTTTGTACCTTTTGAGCTTGGCTTCCGCATAATACATGTGAGATTCGTCCCTTGTTGCTGCAGATAACCGCAGTCCATTCCTTTCTATTGCTCCACAGAATTCCACTGTATGGACGTACTTCGGATTATTTATCCGTTTTCCAGTCCAGGGACATTTGGGTTGTTTACAGTTTGGGGTGATAACAGATAGCCGTGCAAGGTTTGGAAGCCAGAGAATGTGCTAGATAGGTAGAACTAGCATTGTCAAGTTGCTCAGCCCGCTTTGGGGGAATGGGAGGCCGGCAGGCAGGCCGAGGGCCACAGTGTTGTTAGATGGCACCAGGTATTCACCGACCCTCCCCCTCCACTCTCCCTCCAGGGTATGGCCACGCCGCACCCGGCACGGACTCGGGCAAGGTCTTCTGCATGTTCTACGCGCTCCTGGGCATCCCCCTGACGCTGGTCACCTTCCAGAGCCTGGGCGAGCGGCTGAATGC